TTCACCGGAATAAGGAATATCTAGTGCTTTAGCAAATTCTTGAATAGTGAAACGTAGTTTGGTACCACACACTCGAGAGGCTAACACATCTTCTTTAATTATAAGATTGGCTAGAAAAACGGATAAGCAGTCAGGGTAAACAGAGCAGCAATGCTTAGTTTCAAAAAGATGCCCCCATTTTTTGAAAAGTAATGAGTTCTACAAAGTCAGAAGTTTGAGATGAGAGTTCAGCGAAAGGAATAGCGAGTACCTTTACAATGCCTCTTGCCATATATAGCGCTCGAAGTCGAATAACATCTTCTTCAGCCACTTTCCCTATTTTCGGTAATTTTTTGGTTGATTCCTCACCAGAGATGATACCTTCTTCAATCGCTCTCTTCCGGGTATATTTCCGAGGCAGAGACTTCCCGTCGCGTGTGAGGGGTTTTCCTTTAGAAAGCTTAATTGGAGACGGAGTGGCTTCCTCTTGTTCCCCCTGAGAGGATGCAGGGGACGGTGGTAATGAATAAGTAGGTTCAGATTGCATGTTGGAAGGAGGAGAGGCTTCGAGTTCAATAGGAGTGGGTGATGAAGGTGGAGGTGGTTGTGCACTTCGTTTCCGGCTAGAACGACGAGGTGCAGTTGGAGGAGCACAACCTCTGGTTTTAACCATGGCGGTTAGAGGAAAGGGGAGAGGGAGAAGTTTAAGGAAGGAAAGTGATTTTGGGCGGTGAGTTGGTACTTGAGGATCCCTTTACACTTCCCAAAAAAAATCTTAATGATTTCTTTCCAAAAAAATCTTGATGAAAGAAGTGTCCGATTATTTAGCTCCACTACCCAAAATATTTTGGCAGTTTAAAACGTTCCATTTAAAATCCTTGCCCCTTTCTATGAAAATCAAGTAAAAAGATTTCTCCTTAAGTTATAAAGAAGGGAAGAAATTTAAAAATAATGATCTAGCAAGGGTTAGAATTTTAAGGAGAAAGTAGTTTTAAGCATTGATAAGACCAAGTTCAAGTTGAATTAATTCAAACCTTTCTCTTCCCAGGGGCTTTGTAAAAATGTCGGCAATTTGCTTGTCGGTGTTGTAATATTCTAACTTGATTAGCCCCTTTTCCACGCAATCTCTCAGAGTGTGATGCCGGATATGGATATGTTTTGTTCGTGAGTGCATGACCGGATCTTTTGAGATGCTGATTGCACTTGTATTGTCACATAGAATTGGCGTGCAATTTAGGATGATCCCGTAGTCACTCACTCCTTGCATGATCCACAAGGATTGTGAGCAACAAGATGCGGCTGCTACGTATTCGGCTTCGGCTGTTGAAAGAGCAACTGAATTTTGTTTCTTAGAACTCCATGAAACCAAGCAAGGATCTAGGAAGTGAGCCATTCCAGATGTGCTTTTTCTATTTAATAGATCACATTCAAAATCAGATTCTGAATATGCAATAAGATTAAAATCCTCATTACGTGGATACCATAAGCATAGATTCATAGTTCCTTTGAGATATTTGAGGATCCTCTTGACTTCTTTGAGGTGAGACTCCTTGGGATTTGCCTGGAACCGGGCACATAGACCTACACTGAACACTATGTCGGGTCTACTGGCAGTTACGTATAGTAGAGATCCGATCATTCCTCTCTGGTCTATGTTTGTTCCTGCTTCGTCTGCATCCAGCCTGTCATTTGTTCCCATCGGTGTTGTCATTGTCTTGCTTTCACTTGCTCCATACTTCTTGAGTAGTTCCTTGAGATAGTTTTGTTGAGATATTTGAGTTCCTTTACTCCCTCTGGGAGTAATTGTAAGGGTTCACAAATCATTAATATAGAGAAAATATAGTACTTCTCTCTCTAGCTCTCACTTCTCTCTAGACTTATACTCTATCACGTAGTTATGGTCCACTATCTAATACTTCGTACAAGAGTTAGAGTGATGTATAATGCTTGTGAGTGTTCAAATGATAACCCTCCTTTAGTGAGTAGGTGAGTTTGATGACGTGACGAATCCTCAATGGCTAATCTCCTTACCGCTTGCAGCACGGCACCCATGCCTCCACTTGAGGTGCCCATGCTCCTGCATTAAATGCGCCCCTGCCGCTTGTAAGGCTTCCTCGATCAGTGCTTTAGACCAGCGCGACCAGCTGCCAAGGATTATATTTCCTACCTTCCAAATATGGTGTTCTACCCGTTCGGGAACTACCGAACGGCTACTGTCCAACGGATGAGAACCTGTTAGGTCCCCAAATATTTTGTCTGGTATTCTGTGGGCTCTGTTGCTTTCCTTTGGGCCTTAGGGATATCTTGGGCCGCGCTATTGGACCGGAATCTAATATCCCAACAATCACCATAATGCATTATCAGACTCGTGTCTTTGAGAATGTAAATGACACTCCCCAAGTTGATAGATGTGTTGTAAATGTCATCCAGTCGTTTATAATTTGATCCATCTTCAGTTCTAGACTACCAATAAACTCATTGTGGATGACATTTACAACACATCTGTCAATTCGGAGGGTGACATTTACAATCTCAAAAACATAGGTCTGACATGTCAATATGATGACTAATAGAGGGACCAAAAGTGCAATTTTCCCTAGTGTATGGTGGTACTAATCATTGAGGGATCAAAAGAACTTTATGGTTTTCTATTCTTATCATCATCATCATTAAATATTAAATTTTGATTGATATATAGTTACACATATTTTATAACTAACAATAAAAACAAGATTTTCATTTTCATTTACCCCAGTGCTGCATAGGCTCCCACCTACGGTGGGGTAGGGGGTCGGATGTACGCAGTCTTACCCCTGTACTAAAGCACAGAGAGATTGTTTTCGGATGACCCATAGTGAAAATCCCGTCCAAAATTGCATGGACTGACCGCTGCTTCATAACAAAGAAGCGCAGATAGTTTAGTGAGCCATTTTTCTTTATTCCATCATAATTTCAAGCCAAAAAATAATGAATCTTTGGCTCCATTGAAAATGATGGAAATAACAATAAAAATAAGATAAAAAACATATTTTATGATTCATTGTTTAACCAACACTTGATCAAGTTGATACATGTATCAAGGCTAACCCTCCCGGTTCTTGGTTAACTCGTGCCCATTCATTTGTTTGGTCTTAACAACATAGACTTCTGGTTGCCAACCTCTCTTAGGTTTTGTGACTTTGTCATGACATGATTGCTCAGTACGTGGAAAACATGCCGCCAAAAGAGAAATTAAGTTGACCCCAACCAAAGAGCCTATTGTATGGTGGTACCGGTGCCAACCCAGTAAGGTCCGCATTGAACTGCTTTGAAGAGTGAAGGTCTCTTATGAGTGGACGGTTCAAGTCCCTTAAAGAATGAGTAACACCATAACTATAATCAGGAACAAAAGTTGTGGCTTAGTGTTATGTTATCAAAACGACAAAACCTAGGTGTGGTCTCAATTGCATGAAGAGCAACCCTGAAAACAAGACGGGAGAGTTTTAGCCACTAAATGATTGAGAGGCTTTGATTGTGGGAATAATGATCATATATTTCGTATATAATAATAAGGGAAAATCGCACATTTCGTCCCTGAAATAGTCGCCATATTGAAATGTCAGACCCGTATTTCGGAGGTTGTAATTGTCACCCCCCAATTGTCCATGAGGGGTGAAATGTACTCCTCGCCCATAATGCATTTCAAAATAATTGTGATCACATTTATGTTCATAATTTCGTGTTAGTAGTAGTTTAGAAAACCCCTCTTACTACTACAACCATAGAATCAAATTATGTTTAATTACTTCTTACTAGTTTTCAAGCTCGTGCGATGCACGGACAGTATGTAATTTAGCTAATTTGAAATTTAATTTCTATCGGATCACATATAATGTGATTTAAAAGAAAAATAAACTTAGTCTAATATAGAGTCTGTTTGATAATACTAAAGTAAATAAAATTAACTTATTTTGCTGAAATTGATTGAATTCTGGTTAAATCGGTGGAATCTTCTGAATCATGAAAAATATATGTGAAACATATTCCATTTGTGAAACAAAGAAAAAAATATATGAAAAAAAGTTAAATTGGTCTTCTACATAAGCATCTCAAATAAACATAATTGTTATGAACCCAATAATAAAAAAAAATCTATATTTCTTAATCGTTAGATCTTACAGTTTACTCATTAATAAGAACGTTTTTAATTGAATTAAAATTTCAGGTTTGATTTGATATGAATTAATATGGTCTATTCGATGTCTGTTTTTTATGTGGCTTATTGTTATAATTATTAAAGTTTGATCTGATCTGATTTAATCTGGAACTGAAATCAATCCAATTAAAAACATTCTATTAAAATAAAAGTAGGAATTCGTAAACCTATGAAGATTTTCTAATTTGGATTAGGAATCTATTTCAAAAGTGAAGGCGTGTTTGAATTTCACCTGTGTAATATTAAGAAACAACCAAAAAAATTTACTTATTTGGCTAAGCTAAACATATTTACTTGTGAAAATATATATACTTTATGTTGGTTATAATTTTTAATTTCTTTTTTAATTATTTACTAATTTGAAGCTTACTAATTTATTAATAGGTGTCAAATTAATAAGTAAACTAATTTGCATATTTGTTTCTATTTAATTCGGTGTAGTAAACTAATACGGAGTATAAATTAGTTCCCATATCAATAAACGTTATTAGAATTTCACTTTGATAACCAAAAATTATTTTACTTATTTGAAGCTTACCAAATTAATTAAGGTGGATTTATAAGGTTTTTTGTTTCCATATCAATATGCAATCAAAAATAGAATCTAATAAAAACAAAAGGTATAAAAATAAGTAAATAATTGTTATATATAATGACATGGCATGTAGCGCTTTGTATGCTCTTATAAAGTTACTCTTATATATATATATATATATATATATATATATATATATATATATATATATATATATATATATATATATATATATATATATATATATATATATATATATTGATTAGAAAAAGTTGTCATGGAGTGGTCCAGATAAAAGCAGGGTTGTGGGTGAATCCAAGAATTCCAGAGATGTTGGTGAGACCTGACCTCGAAAATCTAGTGAAGACTTATGGCAAATTTTGGTGCACATGGCAGTCTGATAGAGGTAATTTATATAAGCAATACTAAGAGCCCGTTTGGTAGCACGAAAATCGGCTGATTTGGTTGATTCTGCTGAAATTTATGAAGTTCTGGTTGAAGTGGCTGCATTGGCTGATTCTGCTGATTTAAGAAAAAAATACTTTTAAATATATTTTATTAATAAAATAAGGAAAAAATTATATGTAAAAATAGCTAAAATGGTCATCTATAGTAATTTCAGCCAATACAGTCAGAAAAGTAACCCCAACATTACTTTTTCTGCTTATTACACAATTCAGCGCGCGAAAACAAAAATTACGTGTTTGGTGAAAAAGTCGGCTGATAAGTCTGATAAGCCGAAAAACAGTGTTACCAAACGCCCTCTAAATAGAGTAATTTTTGGTATACAAATTTTTATACACATTTTGCATACTTCGTTTGTATATATACACAACTCTCAAATTTTCTGCACTTTTAGCCTTACATAGGCAAAATAGATACTCCATAATATACAAAAAATGTACAAACGTATTCTTCCTAATAAGTAATGATTAAAAAAGATTTGAGTTGTTGAAATTAGATTCTGTTTGTCACTTTTTTATCCAAAGTTAGGTTTGCACAGAGTTTTGTAGTCTAAATTAGTAATATTTGCAAGATGATTTGAGAATTTGTGTGATGCACATATGACTAATAATATGTGACAATCATATTTAAGTAATTCAGTTTTGATGTATAATTTTGAAGTAAAATTAGTGCATCTCTATTTTAATTTCATATTGAGACTATCAAATTAAGGAGTTGACACTTGAGCACATAATGAGCTGATTTTTTTTAAATTCAGTCATTAATTGAATTTGGAGCCAAGCTCACGTTTCTGTTCAGTCGGCTGATAATAGATCTTCGATCAGTTCCTAAATTATCCCTGTTTTTCTTCTCTGTTACTCCTACATTATTTTTGTTTTTCTTCTCTGGATTTATTTCTTTAGTGCACGTATTGATCACCTCGTCCACTTGGGATTTATTAGCTTGTTTTCCTCGCTACCCTGAGGCCTGATCCCCTCTTCTCTTTGGTCCGCTAATTTTCTTCGTCTTATCTGGGATCGTGTGCTGCCCTAATTTTTGTAGAGGGGTAAGATATGAATTTGACTCCTAGCTAGTTAGCCTTGCGTTGATCCTTGTAGGTAGGTAAAGCAGTGGGAATGTTACCCGCCCTGGTAGCTCAACTAGTAAAATAGTGGGAATGTTGGACAAATGATCAAGAATCAAAACCCGCAGTGACCGTGTGGAGCTCACAACTCTTATGTGTTGGGCTGGATCTCTGGTGCGCACAGGTATAAAGTCTACCACCACTAGGATTGGTTGAGTCACCGTGATTTACAACCTCTCATGTACTCTATCGGGTTGGGGCGTGGGGGGTCCTTGGGGTTGGGGATTCAACCTTTTGGACAAAAAAGTAAAGTATGAATGTTATCTCTAGGTTCTAATGTTCCATAAGAAAATACTACTCCCTCCGTCCTGAAAAGGTTGGCCAAAGTTGACTTTCACGTGGATTAATAAAGTAAAAACTGTGTGGTTGAAATTTGTGCAGAGAGGAAAATTAATTTTAGCCACATGTTCCTTACTTTAAATGTAAATGACAAAATCTTTTTTGGACATCCAAAAAAGGAAATTTGCCCAACCTTTTCGGGACGGAGGGAGTATCTTGTAGCTTTGTACTTTGCAGGGCATAGTAGGGGAGATCTTACGTGGTTAAAAGAAGTATAAACTTGCGTAAGATTATAGTCAAAAGTCAAAAGTAGGAATATTAATCATTAATACAATACTACCTTCGTCCCGCAATTAAGTTACCACTTTCCTTTTCGGGGAGTCCCTAAATTACGTTCACACTTCCCTACTTTCCTTGTTTGGCAAATTATCTACATCAAAACAGTGCAAAACAGTGTCCAAACAGTGCAAAACAGTAAATTTACTCCCAGTAAATTTATTTCCTTAATATGTGTGAAAATCATCCCGTAACTCAATTGGGGGACGAAGGGAGTATATCACCTCAAATATGAGTAAAACTATGACAAAAATAAAAAATAGGACTTCTTACGTTTTTATTGCATAATAGGACCATACTATTCCTATTTGAAAACAACTTATTTCTTCGTAACCCAGCTGGTTGTGAGGTTACCGTGTCTAGTGAGAGGTCTCGAGTTCAAAACCCGCTAGGCACATAAGGGTTTGAAATTCAATGGAGTTAGGTTCAGTCCTGATTCCTCCAAGCCCCCCATCCCTCCTTTCCCAGACGCCCTCTGGAGTAAAAAAAACAACCTATTTCTTCATTCCATTCTTACATTGTCATGCCCCGGATCTAGCCGGACACGTCAACAACCCGCCGTACGGTACAGATAGTCAACCGCAGTCCAACTCATCCATACTATACAAGGCGTCTTGAATACCATTCACACATAGTACATCCATAAACGAACATAATGTAAAACATTTATTTAAAACAGCGGAAGCATTTAATAAAAGTGTCTTAGCCACACTTTGGCAAACATGGGCATGCAAGCCCCCAAATAATTATTCAAAAACAATATCCATGAACATAATTATAATTGTTTTGAAAACAGGAAACAGAAGAAGCACGAAGCACGTCTTCTTCCCTGAATATCCCCGAGCAACGGGCGCCGGTAGCAACCTTCAAATTCTACCGGAAACTGTGAGGTGGCCTCCCCCGTGAAGGGGAGGTCAGTACTTGGAAGCATTTGACAAGTACAATGACAACTATACTAAGTATAATCAACGTTTTAATTTCCAAGACCCCCAAAATAGGGTGATATCATAATATAAATAATAATTTATATTTCCCACTTATTATTCTTATAATAAGTAAATTCATTTATTTGTCGGCACACGACCCTTCTTATATATTCCTTTTCATTTATCATTTGCACAACCCAACCCTTGGGTCTTATTATTTTTACGGGACTTGATACCGCTGTCCGAGACCTCATGAGGCTCTCGGTTCGGACTCCAACATCCCGCCCCTGGACTCGTACCCATCATCCCGTAGGAAGGTAAGGCCCTTCGGGGTCCTATCTTATGTGTTACCGCTACTGGAACCTAGTTAGGTCTCTGATTCGGATTCCACCCTAACCCGTGATCACGATGTAAGTCCATGCTATCCAACCCCGCTCTCTAGAGTCGGGAAGGGCCATGGTCTTTACTTATTTCTGTAATTCAACCGGCTATCCTCAAGGACTACCGAACACACCCGTAGGCCAATCCTATATCTAGGATCAATTTATTATTTACTTTATCTTGGGTATCCCTTAAGGCCTACCCCTAGTATAACTTAAAGTTCATACTTTCCTACCTTAAAGCATCTCTTAAGACTACTTAAGGCATAATATTTCACAATCCAACCTTAGGGTCAATCTTAACAACATTTTATTTTAATGTCCAACTAGTATCTTAATACTAGTCAAATTAATTCCAACAAACCAAGTTCTCAACTCATAGTCATATAGACAATTCCAACTGATTTTCCATTGAAAATGTCATTTATCTCAATACTCAAAATATCACTTTTAATCACTCATATATTCCAATATGAAGTAAAAAGTATATTTCAATATAATCTCATAGTTAATCCCATTGTCAATCAACATACACATAACACATGATCATACATAATGTATTCTTAACTTTTTATATCATGCTCCTTTTCTCTTAGACAATAGTCTTCTAATTTTTAGGCATTATTAATCATTAATAATCCATAACAACACATTTAATTACCTTAGGTAATCTCATGAAATTAACTCACTAATTATAAGTAACATAGTCAGCCATCCTCCCCGATTAATCCTCGTTTTAAACCGATAAGAAGGCAAAATTGGACTGCCTGGACAAAAGCCGGGTGGCTTTCACGAAAGCCGGACGGCTTTCGTAGTGTGCAACTACGAACAGCTCCTATGGAGTGGCGGTTTCCGGCGATTTCGACTCCTATCGATTTGCCAAGCCTTCTAAGTTAATTACCACCACTTTATAACAATATTCTACACTTTTAAACGTGTAGACCATCATGTTTAATCCACCATATGATTTCTTACAAATCATACACCATAAAACTAGTTAAAAAAAGATAGTTGAGTTCTTACCTTCTTCCTAGCTAGTTTTCTACTGGAATTTTCTTGCCTCTTACTTCCTCCAAGCTTGAACGTGATGAGGAGTTGCTTGAGCTTCTCTTTTCCTCTGAATTGGCCGGATGATTGCAAGTGAGGAGGGAGATAGATTACTCTCAATCAATACAATTGATTGAGTAGGAAGGGTGTAGGGATGGGTTTTTGTCTCAATGAGACTCCATACCTACTTTGCACGTTCCAGCATGTTTCTTGGTCATTTGTAATACATAAAATCGTGGGGTGGCCCCCACTCATGTGGGAGGTCATCCCATTATGCTCCGATGTGTATAATCGGCCCCGAAAGTTGTATTTTTCGAACTATTTTAGTTATATTTTATTTTATCGGGCCGGATAAAATATATCACGCGTTCCCAATAATTATGGGCCTTGAGAATAGATGTACATTCCCCAACATTAATTTAGGAGTCTCCGAAACTCATTTCGGGCTGTTATCCGATAAATCACCAATACCGGTAATTGGGCCTCATGTGACCCACCGATCACCTCCATGCCCTTCTCATGGCCCAAATAAAATATCCACCACCATATAGATGTCATCTAGACCAAGATGAATGTAATATGTGGTTCGGGAATTATCGGGCGGTCCCCGTTCTTGCTGTGGGCCCCACATGCAATTTACTATTCACGTAAAAGAAATAATAAAATTTAACAATTACGCAAATTTCATAAATCATCCTTCAAGGTTTATTACATCATTTACTAAAAGTAAACATGCTTGGGGACGGTGTCACATACATCTCCTTTAAATATGAGCAAAAAGTAGACAAAAGTCATAATTAAATGCTTTACTCATAATAAAATCGTTAAAGAAATCGTAGAAAAATTAATAA